GAAATATCCAAAATAGTTAAATAAAACCTGAGTCTGGAGAGCAGAGAAACAACACGCCTTGTCTGGGTATAGACTAAGTCAGAACTGGGCATGTGCGGCCAGGCAGGAGGCGTGGCTATCTCAGACTTAGTCTTATTGGGTACAAGGGACTTCAGGAAACCCAATCAAGTGGATTATCCATCCCTCATGCTGGAGAATGGGTACCTAAGCCTTGAAAAATTTAATTGTAGCAAAAGCATGTTTGTTGTTATTGTGGTTGGCAAAATACAGAAACTGCATTTGAAAATATATGGCCCCTGTGGTGATATCACATGACTTTTGCTAAGAAACCAAAGAAGGACATTTTAGAAGTGTATGACTTATGTGCTTTGGTAAGATTGATACAAAAGGATTAGACCAGGATTCTGCTGTATGGCTCCAACCATATGCCTAAGAGAAGCCCATTGACAGAACCTAACTTTATAACACTCTTATGCCTATGTTTTCCAGTGACAACGTGACTTAATAGAAATAGATAGAAAAATATATACTGGATGATAAGGCTGGTGGAAACTGGTGGTCATTTTCACATCTTTACAATCACAGCTTAACTATCAATTTCCTACCATTCATAGTCATTGGACGACTCTACAATCTACAATTATGAGAAAGTCCCCAAATCTTTTCCAGACTCTTCTTATTCTCTTTTCTTCTACTTCAAAAGAACTCCCCCACAGGGCTGTTGTTGTGGGGAAATAGGAGAAAGGTGTGTTAGATATGCTCACTGCCTTGAGTTATTTGTAAAAATAATAAAGTGGGATACAAACAAACAGAGAAATAAATAAGCCGTTTCCTCAAAGTTGGCCACATTGTTGTTCATTTTACATCTGGTTAAACACGAAGAAAATGTTCCAATTCCAAAACAGTTGCTCAGGGAACCCCAGTATCAATCTATTTTGGATCTTTGGTTCCTGATCTTGAACCAGTTACCAATCCATAAGGGAACCTCTCTTCTCTTCTTATGAATGTTACATTGGTCCAGATTTCAGTGAGGAATGTTTGAAATTCAAAGTACAGCTAGTTCTCAACTTATTCACTTAACAATGGTTTGAATTGATAATGGCCTCCCAAAAAGTAAGTTAAGATGTAAATTTGAACTTTTGACCATCATCTTGTCCCTATGGTCACATGATCACAATTCAGGCACTTGGCAACCAGTTCATGTTTTCCAGCAAAAAATATCATTAAACTGAATTCACACTTACACACATGTGACTCAACTTATGGTCCCCATAAAAATGGTCATAAAATCAGTTGCATATGATGATTGCAACAATTTACAACAAAATTATGATCTCAATTGTGATAAGTCAAGGATTACCTATAAGCAGTATATATTTTATAATACTAGCAAATCTAGTTTTATTATATCTGCTATTTGTCACATCATCATCATCATCGTTGTTGTTGTTGTTATTTAAATTTATTTGCCATCCATTTCGCCACAAGGAGGCTCTGGGAGACTTACATCATAGAATCACATGGAGTAGAGAAATAAAATAGCTAAGATTTTAAATAAATCTTAACATTCCAAATTAATGTAAAATACTCACTTCCATTTCAACAGTACTAAGATGATATGGTAAATTGTACATACTTTATTGCAATTCTAAATCCCTGGCTAAATGAGCACATAATCAAAAGAACAGAAGTAGGAACAAAAGGGACATTACCTGGATACACACTGGGAGGGGATGGAGTAGGGACAGCAATAGGGACGCCCACACTTCCACTTCCACTGTTCTCTCGACTGCTGCTCCTACTGCTGGGATGGCTCCCTCCGCTGCTTCCGCTGCTGCTAAAAGAAATCCAAACCACCAAAGTAACTATGTTCCATCCCCTAACAGGTAAACTGCAGCTACAAAACATTATAGGAGCTTGCTAAATTTGCCATTTCAGAGACCAATAGAAACTTGGTTTATTTTTAAAATGTCTTGCCAATGCCCGAGTTAAATTAGGAAACATCATTCAGGATCAATAAGTACAGATGAAATGATCAGAAACAGCTTCAAGAGCATTTTCTAAAAATCTTGGTAATATGGAACTTCGGTGGAAAGAAGCTGGTTTCGTCTAAAGTGCGTAATGCTCTTTGAAGTAAAAACGTCTATGTATAAAATAGTTGTCTTTGTAAATGGTCATGAAAACTCTCTAGCATATCCTAACATTTTTTTTCCTTGCGTACTGCTGGCCTGCTCTGCAGGTTGATTCCACACTGCAAAAACTATTTTACCAAGGCTATTTTCCTGCTGTTACAATATGTCTTCTAAAGGTCAACAGAAATAAATAATATTAGCCACATTTCAAGTCAACTGAACTACACATTTGTTCAAAATTGGCAGCACTTTCACAAGCTTCAAAATTTCACCACTTCACAATTTTGGACATAAACTTCACAGTTGCGTTATTCTAGTCAGCAGGTACCACTTTTTAGAAGCTAGGTATCACACCAGTTATAAAGAGAAGGTAGGCAGTAAAAATAAATACATTAAGTACAATAGTATTTGTTACACAATTCAGTAATGTATTGTATATTGCTTTTGAACAAAACAAAACCTGTTCCAAGACAAACAACTTCACACTACACAACACGTAGTATAAGCAGCATGGTTTCTCTCTATCTCCCAATGGATTTCCCAGGAAATCACATGAATTTATGAAGCTCTAAGTGGAGAGGTGGGGTGGAGTGGGGTGGGGTGGTTAAAAGCAGATTGCTATAAACCGAGTTGTCTGTCTTAATTATTGTTAATATTTTGCGCAGGAGCAGAGTGAATACCTGTAAGTGCGATTCCTCTGATTCACAGAAGCTGTTCTAACAGGGCTCTGCTGCGAGGGAGCGATATTACGGGTAGGGCTAGGTACATAGTCATTTGGTACCACTGGAGGACGCACTGGCTCCAGTGTGCGATAGGGAGAGTGACGCCTACACAAGAAAAACATGTATGGAAGCAATTTCAGACAATGAAATACAAAGACCTTTTGGGCAAGGCAGTGCAGAAGTCTTGCTAGATTGTTCTGCTCAAAAATGCAAAGGGCTGGATCCATTGCACTGCAGGAGTAGCGTATGTGTAGAATTTCCTTAGGCCCAGCTTTCCCAGCTGGCATCTATGTAGATAATTCACAAAGAGATCCATGCATGCCTGCCATAAACTATCCCTCCCTCCCTCTTTCCTCAAGATCATTTATGTACTGGGGCAGAAAGGAGAGATGGGATTAGGTTATAAGAGGCATGCACAGAGTTCCTATTCCCCTTGATGGTCTGTCATGCTACGTGTAACAGGCATCCCTAAGCAGAAGAAAGGAAGAGAGAATAGGATTCTTTGGAGTTGAAAAAATCCCCACATTATGGTACTGGGCCATGAAATTTTCTATTCATGTACTACAAGGTATTCAGGCTGGTCACTTTTTCCAAATATAGCCAAAAATAGTGTACAGCTATTCAAACTGCAAGCACTAGCCCAAAGGCTTCCACAGAAAAAATGTATCTTATATTTCCAATAACTATGCAACGCTTCTTGGTGATGTTATGGATAAGTTTACGCTTGCAAGAAAGATGCCTTCAAACCCCAGATTGCAGCTTTTAAGTACCTTTATGCCAAGAGACAATTGTAAAAATTAAAAGAAAGTTTTAGCTTTCCCCTTTACATTCTCTCCCTCCACCTTCTGATGTATATGCAATTATACTTACCCAATAGTTCCTTTCCCTGACATTGGTGGACTGGGTGGTTTCTGGGTGGGTGGTGTGGTACGAGGCAGACCACCCATTTTCATATTCTGCGTGCTAACCTGTGTAAGAGGTAATGGAGGAAAATAACCTCACTGAAACTTAAATAAGAGTCCTTATTTGATCTTGATCTACTACATTAAAGAGACAAGGAAATGTGCAAATTAAAAAAAAAACAACCAAACTAGTCGTACATACGTGTGCTATTTCTACCATTGTTTATAAATTATTAAATTGTGGTTGTATATAGTGTGATGGTGTAGTTTTGAGACAGAGTTTTCCTTAGGCCATCACATTTACATTTAGATAATTGGCAATGTGGCATAGTAAATCTATCTCCATGAAAGTTGTTGAGCTTTGTAGGAATTTGAGACAAATTACCATTCCAAGAATGCAGTACTGTAGTTGTCTACTTCAATGAGATTGAAAAGTAACTGTATCTGAAACATTTTATTGGCTGTGCCTTAATTATACTGTAGGCATGTGAGTTTTTCCACTACGTATAATCAATTACATGCTCAAAAGCTGGTTTGGAGCTTGATTCTCACTATACATACTCTTGCTAACAATTACAAATTTACAACTGCATATTGTATGACAATCCAATATGATTTTACTGCCTCTGAGCAGTGTCTTTCAGGAACAATTTTCTTTTCATGAATGCCTTGCATATAATTTTATTAGTTATTCCAAGAAATTCTTGAAGTGTATGAGCTCTCATAATAAGTTTTATAACAAAATTGGAATGAGAAACATGAATCCAATTATCTTTTCAATCTAGTTAATCATATATCACCATTTGTTAAGGGGACGCAAAGGTTTGCCAAAGTCAACAGCAACAGGAAGTAGTGATAAAGCGTAGGCACTGCCAATCCAACAGCTTCCCTTGCCCTTTCCATATAAGGTCCTTTCATCATCATCGTAAGAATTCTATTCAGTCCCTCTCCCTTAATATGGCTTGTGATGTAAATCTTGATAAGCCATTTCTCCAAGAATCATTGAGATAGGGGGATTCTTTTTTGGCATGAAGAGCAGAAGAATTTGATCCAAAGAACAGGTACTAAATTTAATTTTTGTTACAATGATTTAAAATTGTTGAAGCCGCAACAGAAGGAAACTGTGTTACATCACTAACGTCATACATTCAAAGGGCAATTAAAATTTCAAGCATGTAGCTTCTGAAGGGACAGTTCATTCTGAGCTTATAAGATAAATAATCCAATATTTAAATTAAAAATATTTAAATAAACCTTGAAATGGGTTTCATAAGCATTGCACATTGAATATAATTGTAAATTTTAACATTAAATTCATACTGATATTACTGCCCTTTTGGAAGCTTCTAAAAATTGAATTCTTCTAGAAATTATATTATGATGCACTCTGCAGCAAAAGATAAATATTTACATTTATATTTATTATGTTGCTGGGATATTATTAATTTTTGTTCTTAATTATTTTTACCATGAATATTTTAATGTATAATTGTGTTGCAGCAATTTACAAATAAAATAGTATACAAAACTGTAAAAAAATAAAATATTATCCTCACTTAACAGTAAATACAAAAAAATAAGTTATAATTAATGCACTAATTATCTCAATTTTTCAGTTAATTTTACTGATCATATCAGTAAATCAAATTATATAAATGATGCTATAAATTCAAGTAAATGTCTCATGTTCAATAGAATGTTTTATGAAATAAACAGGATTTTTATCAATCATAAATATGATAGAACTTGTGATGATTTCTCTGTAGATAAGAAAAAAGCTCACTAAGTGAAGGAATCACTAGAGTGTGAGTCAATCTAGGTTTAAGAATTAGGATTTGACATGGCCTTTGGAAAGTTATTCAACAATATTTCTTTACCGTAAAAGCAACACTAATAATGCATTCGCAGTGTCTGTAAATTTATGGGACACCTTACAGTTTAAAGCTTCTGAATCTATCTAAAAGTCCAAGAAGCATGGCATTCTGCAGCTACCATTATAATGGAATGTTATGAAACCTGGAGGTGTGGATGCTGTATCTAATATTTGGATGGCATCAAGTTAAACAAGATTGTCAGTACTTTAGAATAGTTAATATATGCAGAATATTTGATAATTTTAGATTATCTATATACAATAGCCAGGGAATCAGTGCCAAATATACGGAAATATGAATTCAAGATTACCGAATATATTCTGAGATTTTTCTAAAAATCTTCCAGCAAGTGTAAATGCATACGAGTTGCTTCACTGTTCCTCACAACATCAGCAATACAGGGGGAAAGTAATAGTGGTTTTGGTGACCTTAGTAAAGACCATGTGAGACAGTTATGGCTGTGCCGATTGCTGATGTGCAGCTTTTATAGATTACCTCAGAAGTAAATAAGTCCTCCTTATTCTTATTTTTGGTAGACTGGCTTTCAGATATTTGTTAGACATGTGATACATTGACATTTAAGATTGTCAATTATGAATCTGTATTCACTTTCAGAAAAAATAGCAAAATGCCACAAAGAGGAATACAAATATTCAATACCTTGCCATCAAAATATTTATCTGCTAAGGCATGAACCGAACAAAAGATTTAAACACAGTGCTCAACTTAACTAATGTTCAAAAACTAAGATGTGTTTGGCATAAGTCCAATTTCTTGTCACCAGTTATACTGTCTTTTTTTTTAAAATCAATTTCCACATTATTAAATCACCAACTCCTCCAGAGGCAAGGATACAGTAATATCCCTAAGGACGATCCCACTTTAGACTCACAAGAACTTTGTAAACTACATTACATTTAAGTGAGCTGAATATTATAGTTAGTACAGTACAGAACTGAACTCTGCACGTACTAGTTAATTACGTGATAAAAATCACTATGTACACAAGCCAAAGTTGGCAGTACATACTACTTAGTACCAAATCCCATCACGTTCAGCACAACTTTAGGGACTCTACTGTGCCTTCATCTTTCATCTATATCTCTTATGGTTACCCACAAGGGACGAATTACCAGCACTAGGTTGAAATTCATGGGGACTGCTCACATTCTTAAAGCAACAAAGGTTACTTATAAAGTATCATCAAAGGGCTCAGGATAATTAGGAGAGTCATTTTGGTACTTTTATTACTGTTATATCTACTCCTACTTTATACCCTCCCCCCCCCCAAAAGGGAAGAATTTCTCTGGGTATGACTCTGTCCACCCAATTATCTAATTTGTAGATAATTAGCTCTGTGCAGTCAAGGAGTTGATTCCAAATGGACTTTAGGTACACATTTTTCTGTTCTATATTACTTAACTGTAAACACATTGGTTATGAATGTAGTTTAATATAAAAATACTCAGAACATAAAAAGTAACCTTAAATCCTACTATATATAATGAAGACAACAAAACATAGCAGAATCTATATAAACATATATATTTCCAAAGGAATTACAATATACAGATCTGCAACACTAGCCTAATAGTAGGACTGGTGTAGCAGTTCAAAAATTTGCTTAATAATTGATAGTATAACTTTAAAACATATAAAATAAACATGCCCCAAGTTATATTTGATTTTGCAAAATAAAATAAGTTTGCAAATTCAAACTTGGCTCATGAATGAGATCAAATCACATCATATAAATAATAATATATTATTACACAGGGGGAGAGAAGACCTTGTCACAAACTTATATTTTTGCATGTAAAATGTGATTGCTGAAGGCCTTGCTAGTTTTCTAGTTCTCTCAGCATCTAGCATATTTTTAAGATTCAAGAAACGTATTAAAGATTACTTTCTTCCTATGAGCTTAGCAAGAAAGAACATTCTCCCCATATGTAATAGTCTCAAATATAAGAATGAAATCCAGCCCTGATGTTTCTTACCTTAAATCTAAGCAACCACTTAATGCATAAATGAAGCAAATAAAAGAGGTAAGGAAGAAAAGCATTGAAAGGTTAGTTGAAATTTCAGGATATGAAGAAAGAAGGGAAAAAGAAAAGTTAAGCACTTAGCATCAACTAAATAATGTATCAATAGATCATAGAAAGAGTGATTAAAGCAGAAGGTGTTATGAATAAAGGTTTTCACAATGAATAACGTTTTAAAACATTATTAACAGAATTTGTTAACAAATTTGTTAACAAATAACAATGATAAATTGAATTCTAAATTATTATTTTGCACATGTAGCATATTCATTAATCTCATACATGCTATAAAATACTGAGAAAAAAAGTTTACCCAATATAGATTTTAAGGCTGTGAAAATCCTTCAGAAGAAGCGGTTCAATCCATGCTAGAACAAACCTCTCTTTGGATCATTAAAACAGTGGTATCTTTTTCCAGGCTCACACACCTACTGTGCCAGCTAACTCTATATACTTGCACAACCCAAGCCACTTCCTGTTGCTTTTTGGCTTGCATGCACACACATTCAGAGACAACTGAGAATAGCTTCTGAAGCAGCCACAAGTGTACAAAAGGACACAGCTGTTTTAATAAATCAAAAGCAGATTCTTTATACATGATTCTATAATTATATTCTAAAACACCTAGTTTGAAGGAACTTATTCAGCTATAAGTGATTTGCTATTTATCTATTCTTCTATTGCTAAATCTATTAAATATTCTGATGAAGTACATACCCCTGCCCATGTAGACTCAATTATAAAGTTACTCTCAAATTAAAATCCTTCACTTGATTAAAAAGCTTAGCAGCTTCTCACACAACAGGGCTTTGCAACACTTCAGATTTGAAGAGAAATAGATACTTTGGAGCACACAGCATGCTCCCTGAACCAGGGTTCTCAAACAGGTTTCACAAGTAACTTATAAACTGGGCACAGCTTTTGTTTAAGACTTTCTGCTTTGCACAGGTAAAGTAGGGCATTATCAAAACCTGTTTGGGCTATATCGTTTTCCACAAATAATTTTTACTTCTAAGTACTTTTATTCTGGTTTTCTATTTATAGCATTCATGTTACAGAATAATTAAATTAATGGCCTGTACGCTCCCTTAAACTTAGGTTTTATTTAGTCATTACCTCCACTATTCATTACCATTATCTTATAGGTAGGGGCAGTGAACTGCATTTAATCAGTCTATTCACCAGCACAAGAGAAACTGTTGGCAAAGCAGATTTCCTTTTTCTGTGTGAGCAATTCACACTCCTTAATGTGCTCCAGAACATTAATGAACATTCCAGAATAGATTTAGAGTATACAAGGAAGAACAGGAATGAACTGTTTTGATATTAGATAGAACTCATAATTATTACCAAAGATGATACAACATATCATATATATTTCTGTTGTTGTTCTTACAAATTAACTTTGCATTTCAAATATTCTTTCAGATGGTGCAAACTGACATACACATATTTGATTATTGTTTGTCTCTGCTATATTGAAAGAAAAACAGAACCAAACATGCTATCCCATAAATCAAAGGTGCTATGTTATTTCTACAATCCAAATGTAAATATGTGTTAACAGCTACAGAAACTCTCTGTATTTGTTTTATAAAACCTGGAGACATGATAACTATAAGAAAAATAATTGTAGTTTATTCTATGCATCATCTTCACAATCCGACTGTCCTATGCATGCAATATTTAGGAAATTCACCAATGTTTAAACTGAGAATTTCAATCAAAGGTTATTGTGCACTTTCAGAATAGTTTTATATTATAATCAACACAGTAAATGTTTTCACTGAAGAAAGATGGATTTAAATATATTTCAAATTTCACAAGCTTCACCGAAGAATCTGAATCATTACATTCTGGATTGTGAAGTAAACAGTAATATACTTAATTCAAGAAAAACTTCACAAACAAATGCATTTCTTTGCAAGGCAAATAATTCCCCAGAAAATACCACTTCATATTATTTTGTCATTTCTGCTACTATGCTGACTGAAAATGCTGCAGGTACTGTAAATTGTTCCTTTTCACATTAACATTTTCCTTCTCATTGGTATTTTCACATCTTTTAATTACTTCATATATTTTAAGGTTGTGTTCCAGAGACGCATGCAATAAATGAACAAACTTTACGCATGCAATTAAATGTGCAGCTACACAGTGCATGCATACAAATTTAATATGTAATTCTACCTGCAATTTAGCAACACTTAAATCATAGGTGTTGTTATAGACACATACCCAGTAGATCCCAGATATTTCTTAAGGTTTATCTTACTTTTCTGTTTTAAAAGGATATTCAAAGATTAATTTTGCTTATTATGCAAGTCTGGAATTAACTGAGTCTAGAATCAAGAGAGTAGGCAGCAGACAAATCCATATAATAAATATAAATAAATTAGTCTGACCAAAGGAAAGATTAATATCATGCGTGCAATAGTATTATAATAAGATTTTAGTTCACAAGCAAACCGAAAAGAAGTATTACGTTGTCAGTCAGTACTGCTTGTACCAAATCAAAATCAAGAGGGCACAAATGAATTTTATTTTTTGCTCATTGAGACACAAAGAACAATACATTACAGGATCAATAATATAAAAGGTAAACAAACCATGCTAGTAATTGGAGTAATTGGAGAATTGCAAGGGAGCCTCTGCAGACAAACATTTTTGCATTCTTAAAACATACAGGCAGATTAATACATTTGAATTATTTCATCTCACCACTTACCTTTACCCCATGACCAATATCATCAAGAATTGTATAATCAATAGGTTTCCTGATATAACGAACAGGTCGCTCCAAGTTGGCTGGCGCAATGATTTTGTGAGTTCTTGAAGTGTTCTTGTTCGTAGTCAAGATGCCAATTTCTCTTCTAGCCACTTTTTCCTTGTGTATATCAACTGTCTGTAGGCAGAATGAATATATACATTATAAGGATTTTTTAAAAATAATCATTAAATACCATTAAACAAAACAGCTACAATTGGGACTTCCGGTGGCAGGCGATTTCGTCGGTCGCAGCTGTTTGCTGCCTCCCGCCTGTTTTGCGTAAAAGCCGGTTTGACAGCCAGCATCAGCTGTCAAACGGCTTGATACCTTTCCCCTGGGCATAAGGGGATAGGTGAGCTGCCCGGGGTAGGAGTTGAGTTCCCGAGTCGTCCTATATGGACGATGTAGGCGA